CACGCCAAGGTCCAGGYGCCCCTTTGCGCGGGTCCCACGCGAGGGGCGGCCGCCGGCGCAGGGCACAACCCAGCGTGGAGCCGCTCGGTGCCGCACAACGCCACGCGCTGCCACGGAGCCGCTGCTCCCGCTCCAAGAGCGGCCTTCCCGAGCCGCGCGGCAACAAGAGACTCTGTTTTATTACGAGTGTCATGGAGACGGTGTGAAAAATCAGGAGCCCCGGGCAGCGCGCGGCCGCGGGTCAATAATGTTCGCGGAGACACAGTGCAGATAATCAAGACGAGGGCCCGGGCTGGGCGCGCGCCGCGAGCAGCTCAAGGGCAAATCGATAGGGCGGCCGGCGGCCCYGCTGCGGCGGCGCGCGCGGGACGCGCTCCCGGGGCAGGGCACGGCCGCGGGCCGCCACCGCGAGCTCCCGACCCAACGCCAAGCTAAACCCGGCGGGCACCATGCGCACCGGGAAGGACGAGTGGAGCGCAGAAGGGCTTGCGAGTCTAAAGCTGGTATCATTATGACCTGTGCTTTCAGAGGCTGAGCAAAACTCACGTGCTGGTAGATTCATCCGTACAGTAAGCAGGGAGGCAAAACAAGAGGAAAACGCTGAAATGCTGATGACTTTTGCTTTGAGGCAACGTCTTACCCGTAGTATTAACTGACACYTTGTTAAATAAGTGATACTAATATTATACATTTTTTTCTGGAAAAAACCTATCGTATAAAAATGGTGATTTACTATTTGTGAAAAAGGTGATTCTTGGCATTCATCATTCTATTAATCATTATATGTAATTTCTCAGCCACTGTGGACAACCATCTTGAAAACCAAATAAAAATATGCTGGAAGGAAAAAAATGACTTAAAGTGTTTTTGCTTTCTATTATTAAAGTTAAAATACCTCCTTCTTTTCCTCAAAGAGATGATAAAATTCCCATTGTCAGCACCCTATTTAGCCTGTAATACTACTAATAAGCCTAAATAGCCTATAAGGTAACCTCTTTTAAAAGAGCACATATTTAGGACAAGAGCTTGTGCTCCTGTTGCTAATTGTTATTACAACATTTCTGACAAACTGCAAGGAGACAGCTAAAACCTACATTAATTTTCGGACATAACTTCAGCAAAATAAAAAGCCAGACTGCTTCACGACCACTACTCAGATCTTGCCATCAATTCAACTTGAAGCAGATTTGTTTTTGAATTCAGTGGGGCTGTGTGATATGAATAACACCCTGAGCTTCGTTTTCCTCCAGGGTAATTAATTTAGTGAGGTATTTTACCATATATTATATAACGTATGGTGTAACAGGTGTATATATAACATCCTGTAATAACTGTAACATATAGTAGATAGCAGTACCTCATTTGGCCCTGCATTATTCGACGTGAGCACCACACGAAGGGCTCCTGCTTCCCCACGGCGCCGGGTGCCCCCGTGCCCAGGCGGGTGCCGACACGGGCACCGGGGCTGTCCCCGTCCCTCCCCGTGCCCTGCTGGTGCGTGGGACGGCGCTGGGGCTCACGGCCGTGCGCTCGGTGGTCCCCCTCCTCTCTCCTACTCAGTTCTGAGGCCAATTCAATTTTTACAATTCCCTGTGAATTATGAAAAACAAAACTGCCATGGGCTTCAAGGCCCTTGTGCTTTCATAGTATAAACATGTTTAGTAAATGTAAAATTATTTTTATGGTTTCAAAACAGATTTGAGTATGTCATTTCTTCCTAAAATCAAAAGGATTACACGTTTTTTTCATCCTGTGTTTCTGGCAACATGGCTCAACAAGCATTGGGAATGGGGAGAAGCCAACGAGCAGAAGAAGGAAACTGGTGTGGGCCAGGCGGAGGCTTCCCCTGCTAGAAACACAGAGGTGATTTAGGATGGAACGAGCCCAAATGCAGAGGTGGTTTAGGATGGAACGAGC